AAAATTGACCATGTGAAAACAATCGTTTCGTTTTTCACATTCTTAATAGGTAGTAAAGATTAATTATACTAATTATCACATCTCCCTTGCGAAAATGCCTGCTTTTCGGCTTTTCGGATTTGCGAGTCACTTATTGCAGGTGCTGTTATTGCCTGTTGCCAGATCCATCGACTGAACCGTCGCTTTTCTATCACCGTACAGTACACTCCGTTCTCTCTATGTTGTGTGCTCTACCGTATCTCCGAGAGAATGTCGGCGCTAACACTGTACTAATCTCCTTCGCATACCTACCTAAGCTATCCATTTTGTTGTAGAACTTCGTCGTGGTAATTTGCGAGTTATATGCACATACTGAAAACTCCGAGTCTACTCTCACGGGATGTCTATTAAAAAATTCCGGTTTGGCAAACCAACCACAAAAATAGATTATACAAGTGAGCAACTCAAGTGGGCTAGTTTTTCTTTTCTTTTGCCTCTTTGTCTTTACTTTTCCAAAGTCTAGAGTTTACCTACTACTGTCTACGATACGTAATGAGAAATTGCCCTTGTAAGTAAGCGTATGCCTGTACTGAAGCGTTATAAAACCGAAGTACCGTGGGCACATCCTAGGTAGGTTCTCATGCACGATGAGGCACTGGTAATAAGGCTGCATGTGGCACATGCAACCTTTGACTCATAACAATACATAAAAGGTTCCAAATGGTACGCAATCATGAGCTCAGTTCATAGCGCGTCAGTATTTAGAAGTCGGCAACACTAACTAATATGTCCCATTCGCCCCCAGATACCATAGCCGCGCAGGCGGATGAGACTTCTGCTGACAAAACCAATTCCAATTCCAAATCTGCACAGCCCACGCATCTTCGGAGCTGTGTTCTGTGTAGGCAGCGCAAGGTCAAATGCGATCGCCGGCAACCGTGTTCGAACTGCATACGCGCTGAGGCTACCTGTGTTCATCCGCCAGGTGCGGGTAGAGCAGCTAAGCGACCACGTCAAGTAGTCGACACTAAAGTGCTGCATCGACTTTCCCAGTTGGAGACAACAATTAGGCGCCTACAGCAGCAGACAAAAGGTCGTGAAGCCGACTCTGACTCTCATGTCGCTAGCGAAGCTTCAGCATCGCCGCAACATGCACTATCAACGCGCTCTGAAGCTCAGGATAGGAGGGATTTGCCTGCTAATGCGAGCCTGGGGTCAGCAACAATCCCAGAATTTGGCCGCCTCGTTGTAGAAGAGTCTCAAAGTCGCTATGTCAGTAACATAATGTGGGCAGATTTGACCGAGTCGGTTAGTCCTTCCAATCTTAGTACTATCAATTGGACTTCGAGCTGATATCATAGAGGTCGAGCAACTGCGTGGAATGTTTCTTAATACCAATTCTAAGGACGAAGATTCCAGCTGGCAAGATGACAGCCCTCCCTTCTACGATGAAGAGTCTCCAACTGTAGGAACTTTAGGCTCGAACGCAGCCATACTAGGCTATAGATCGCTTGCCCATTCTCTGCGAGACTTCCACCCTTCCCTCGAACTGTCTATGAGGCTCTTTCAGATTTTCAGTGACAACGTTTTTCCATTTGTGCGCATATTCCATATGCCAGCGCTAACACGTTTGTTCTGGGATGCAGTCGTGACGCCCGACTCCCTTGACAAAGAAACAGAGGCCCTTCTGTTTGCCATCTACTACTCGGCCGTTATCAGCTTAGACTCGGCTCAGTGCGCCGAAATTATCGGAGCACCGCGATACGCCACAGCCGAGCGATACAGGTTCGCAGCTGAGCAAGCACTGGCGCGGGCCAACTTGCTGAATACGCAAAGCATGTTACTCTTGCAAGCAGCTTTACTCTACCTCTCAGTGCTGCGGTCAGATGATGGGACACGCGCAGTGTGGTCGCTCATAGCACTTGCATCCCATGTAGCACGTTCGATGGGCTTACATCGGGATGGAACGACATTCAATCTTTCGCCCTTTGAAACGGAGATGCGTCGCCGCATATGGCACCATGTCTGTTTGCTGGACCATCGCTCTACCGAATACCACGGCTGTGAACCCACCGTGGCCGACGAGACAGCTTTCGATACTCGCTGGCCCCTCAATGTGAACGATTCAGATCTTTCTCCTGAAATGACTGAATTACCACCCGAAAGCGATGGTGCTACCGATATGACAGTTGTCCACGTCCGATGTCATGCACTACGAGTCAACTGGGAAATGAAACGGTGAGTAGCTTCAAGCCTTGTCCTCGTATTTCTGCATTTTTGAGTTCGGTTTCGATATTTAACCCTCGTATAATGATTTCAGTCTGTTCTGCCCTGTCTTAATAATACCACAGTTCATTCGTTTCACCTATTTAAAGCCACACTAATTCCGACCCTAGAAACATGAGACTATTAACAGGAAGCCGCTCTTTGTTTCAAGCCCGCGTCCAGTTTGTCGACGAGCACGATAGGTGGATTGAAAAGTATATAGAGCGCTGCGATCCAGCTCAACCGCTACTGCATCTCTCAAGGGAAATTTCCTACATGGTTGCCGCGCGAATGCGTCTAATCACATACTACTCCGAATTGATGTCCCGGAAACAGAAGGGAGAAGCCAGCGCTCCTCACACCAACGATGTCAATAGCAGTAGTGATGGGCCCGGCCATGGTGGTTCTGAAGTCGAGCCCGATACCAAATCCTTACGGGACCAACTTTTCGCCACCGCAATCGGCATGCTCAAAAGGTCAGACGATATAATGAAAGACCCAAGTCTCAGCCGGTGGACTTGGCACTCCCACACATATATCCAATGGCAGGTAATAGCTCTAGCCTTATCAGAGATCTGTATCCGCCCGCCGTGTCCACAATGCGACGAGGCGTGGAAATATGCAACAGCGGTCTATGACAAATGGTTGAGTGTCAAATTTCGAGACAACACGGAACGGGGAGACAATTTTGTCAAGCCCATAGGCCTACTTCTGGCTAAAGCTCGGCGCGTGCGAGACATGCAGCAGGCTCAGACACAAACGCAGATGCCGAGGTCAGACACTGGTGAGTGGATGATGCCGGGACAGCGCATACTATATGATACGCCCGGGAGTCGGACATCGCTCAGTTTCGGTAATATGGATACAACAAGTATGGATCACGGATCCCACCAAGTCACCCGAGATTGCATGACCTCAACGACGACACCCTCCCTAGACAACTCACGCAATGGCCCACCCGTCTATGGTATAAACAACTTTGACCCATTTTTGGAGATGCTGCCTGACGAGTTACAAACCGATTGGTTCGAGTCAATTGAGTCAATGGCGCGTGAGAACGTGAGCGCTCGTCGTAGCTCGCACGAGATGACGTCTGCAACGCATTTCTTCTCCTGGCCTTGATCTTCTATGCTCTTCCCTCGCAAATCCCCCCGCGTGGTTTAACGCGTTCAGCCGTGGCCCAAATATTCAAAGCGAGCAAAGCGAGAACCGAGGGCACATCATACAGCCTTCATCTTAAGTTGAAACACAGTCTTTCGCAACGATTATCACGAAAGTCATGATATCATCAAGAGGTCAGGGTTCACGCGCAGCGATAGCAAGGCAAATAATCAGGTTAGATAACGGATGTACTTATAGACTTGGACGATGACATACAGAAGCGTCGGAGGCGCCGCGAGACAATCCCAGCTCATCCGAAGGTTCTGACCCTTCTAGATCAACGCCCCACTCATTTCTAAAAGTAGGCTGCAGTTAATCAAATTTCCTACTTCAAAAAGCCCCCTGTAGTGTTTCGTTCGTTGCAAAACCACGTAACCCCAGTTCCTTATCTCAAGTTAAGCTCAATCCAACATCGTCAAGACAACCGCAAATGCCACTGAAAGAAGCTGTAATCCCAAAAGCTTGAGGCTGAAGTCATACATAGCAACAGCCAATCAAGCTCGGCACAAATTAGGCGAGCCCGAAACAGAACTGCATCGTCTCTGTCGCCAGATTCGAGGTCTTGCCCGATACTTCTAGGTAAGGATGGTATACTCCGAGTTCCACTTCCACACCTTGTATCCTACCACCGCTAAATACGACGTACTAGTCCTTAAGAGCCTTTCTTGAGTTTTTAGCCGTCCCTTGAATCTTTGAAACACTGTGGTTGGGCGAGCGCCATGGCCTAAGTAGTGGATGTAGACGAAGCCGCCTTCCAGGGCTTTCTCGGGAATATCTCTTAACGCCTGGACAATGAAGCTGTTACGTCGCATCGGCATAGCTTGGTATGCTTGAGAATTTCAGAGATATAGTGTAACACTTGGCTGCGCGCGAGAAGTGTTCGAACTTTAAATTCCAGAGCCTTGAGGATGATGATAAGATACCTCCTTCGGCATTTTTGATGCAGCCTTCCTAAGGACGGTATGGCAGTTTATCATTGTCGCCATCAAGCCGCCACGTAGCAAGAGGAGGCCCGCCTTCAGTGTTGTATTATACATTTTCTAATTAGGACTGCCTATTTTTGGGGCGGTTTCTCGGTGAGCATTATAGATTTGGTATGCTCTTGCTACGAGGTTGTCTAAAATGTACAATGAGGTACATAATTAGCCCTCAAAAGCCTTATTTCCAAGATTCAGCCGACTTCTCTCAGAGCTTCGACACGAAATTGTAGAAATGTTAGACATGTGTAAGTCTACAAACTGTATCTAGGCGAGAATACAAAGTCAGAACGACCAAATCGTGATACTATCGTCTCCCCAGTTCTACTTTGCATGCTCGTATGCCCATTTATTTCAGTCGACGGTATTGCGGTGGCCTGGCCCTCTTTTGTTCGTCCTTGACATGCCAATTCAAGTTAGGCCACGGGAACTTGCCTGCATGCAGTGCCGTAATTACCAACACTTAGGTGTAAGGCAGGTAGGCAGTACCTGCCCGTGGTATCTGCCAACCGGACACCTGCATACTCGGAAGGTGCAAGCAGACACCGCCCTTCTCTTCTTCCCTACCCGCCTCAGCATCACCTGCCATTTAACGAGTTCTTGTGACGTTTTCTGTCAACCGAATTGGTGTAGGGGTTAACATTCAAGATTCTCAATCCAAAGAGTTCTCTTGAGCCAGGAGTTCGAGTCTCCTATTCGGTGACTTCTTTTTTTGCTACACTAATTTGTTTGCTCCCCTATACCACCGCCTTTCGTTTCTTCTTTCTCTTTCACATCATCCAGTCTCCTGTCTCCCCTTTCCCAGGTCTCTTTTTCCGCCGTGTAAGACTTCCGCCTCCCATGCTCCTACCCCCTATTTCCGAAGCTTTAGATCTCCAGTGATCAGTAGAGACAAAATCACGTCTGAGTAGTCGCCGTTCTACTCACTCTTATAAGCTTCAAGCAGACTCTAAACCTGCTGTGGATTAAACCTTTTTGCGATTCTTTTATAATAATCTAATCTGCATTGATTAACAATAGGCTGCGAATCATTCAAACTGTCTCTAAGTCTATGAAAACTCATCTGGGGAAAGGAAAAGGAGAAGAGGTGCGAAAAGGTACAATGTTCTCCGCCAAAACGGAATCGCGTTTGAGACTGACAGCCATTTTACAGCAAGGGGCCGCTTCTACAGTAGTGGGTAGGTTTATACATCCCCATGATTACTTGGTAGCCAGAACGTGGGCACGGCATGTATGAGTTTATCAGTCATGTAATTATTATATGAATGCAAACACGTGATTATGAAGATCGATGTAAGTTACGTACTTGATACTACAGGGATTGTGGGATTTTCAAGTGGAATTTAATGCACCGGGACATCGTGATAGAATTAGAGCTATTCTGGGCTACATATTGACGCACTGGTATCCCTTTTAGAACCTTGAGAGGCTCAGGAATCGATTGATCATTCTATTAAGCCCTACAATACACAACTGCCAAGTCATAATAGCACTTCTGTTCACTCTGTGACCAGATTCTCTTGACATCAACTTACCAGATACCCAAATACGCCCTAGCTGTCTCGTAATGATGGCTTGCAGCTATGAGTGGCGGACCTACAACATTCTTTTACTTCAGATTACTCCGTACGGATGAATACCTAAGCTGAATTCACGTCACAAAATATTCTGAGCTTGACTTGAGAGGGTAGAATGGAGATTGTTTTTTAATATGCATGGACCTAGTGACCTTCTCTTCATGTCTTCTCGATTGGGGGTTTGGTAGGTATCAGACAGCTGTGCTACCAAGTACCTACTAGCTACGTAATGATGCGTTGCATAGGATACAGCAGGGCAGCTGGCGTAGCCAAGATACTTGAAACCCGGATGTAATACTTGAAGCGTGCAAATCCATTTCATCGCCCAAGAGGCAATTGCTTGCTATGCCCATGTGGCAGAGGTTCATATCCAACAATGGTCTAGAAAAGCTGGAAGAGGGCGCGCACTGGAAATTCTGGACATTGTGAAAAAAAAATTTGTTGCTTCGTTCGAATTTCACAATGCCATGTCTCTAAATTAACTCTGTGGAAGGAATTACACATGTTGATATTATTAATGTTTTGCAAAGAACAGTTAGGTAGATCAAGTACTGGATTTAATGATCAAGTACGGTGTAAATTCTACCAAGATGGCTTCGATAGCTATTTTACGTACGAGAAACAAGAGGCTGTGTAGATACGGGTAGGTAAAAAGTGATTAAGATTACAAACAGGTGTGCATCAATGATTGACCCGGCCAGATCAGTAAGTTCCGAGAATGTACACTGAGAACAATAGATGTGAATAATACTCAGTACCTAAATGTGTACAATGGGCAAACATTGGTCTGGTCACATGTGCAAGTCAACTTGGATTGGCCAATCAATTTGGTAGATTAAGTACGTAACCACAGTGTGGTTGAATATCAATGCGGCTCTGGGCAACGGTCGGTTGGATTGACCAATCGGATATTTTCCATGCTACCCCAGGTTTTCCAGATCGGGTAAAGCCCACTGTGGCATTATCAAAGTACCCTGATCTGATCAGTTGCCCCCAGCATCCAGTGATTGAGTACCGTCTGCCAGTCTCCTCCCAACTATTTAAGGCTTTTTTTCTCTCCCTCCCTCCATCCTTCCTCCTTCTCATCTCTTCCACATCTTTTCTGGGTTGCACCATCATCATCCCATACCACAACCACAACCACCCCATCCTTTACCTGATTCTTCATCATCCACTACCTGATAATCTTCTTCTTCATATCTGTCCTTAGTTACTATGGCTTTCTTCAAGTACCATCATCATCAACATGCCTCACAACAGTCTGGCTACTTTGCATCTTTCCTTCACCCAGGCCCAACATTGACCATGTTTACCATCTTGCTTCCACTATCACAACAAAGCATTGGGTTTCTCTGTGCATCTATAATAGGTGCATCTTCCTCCTTTCATTTCTATCTTGTCTGGTCTTACTTTACTCAACTTCCATATTTTCATTTCCCTTTCCATGTTCCCCCACGCTACTCGACTTCCATCTTTCCATTTTCTCTCAAATGACTTACACACATCCTTGCAGGCTCCAACTATCTGCACCGACGAGAACAAAAGCATCAACAAGGTCTACCTGTCTACCACAATGATCCATGAAACAACTATTGTGTTTCATTGACAGGTAACTTCTTACTTCATTTGTATTTCACCTCTACTACTAATATCATTTTAGTCAACAATCAAAACAAAAACCAATCAAGATGAAGAAGATTGCTCCTGCAGCTGACTCTGCTATCACAAGTAAGTTCTCCCCCACACCCCAAATCTTCGATGTGCATGTATTTTGTTTTGTTATTGTTTGGATGAACTGATCAACAAACCACTAACCCACCACAGCAACTACACATACATCTACCACCACATCATGCCTATTCCCCAGCGTTCCCCACCCAACAGATCCCTAGCCTCTTTCCTCTCCCCAACGACCTAGTACGGGCCGAAACCCCAAGCAGGCCTCAGTGTTAGTCAGTACGTGACAAGCTCCTGCAACCTTGGACAGAACGCCAGCGACCCTAGAACAGCCAATGGCACTCCTTTTCTTGCGTTTTCGAGGAGCTACTTCACCCTCCAGTCATAAGTCGAGCGTGCTTCGCACTGCATATCGCAAACTGTGTTGGTGATTTAAAGCGCCTGCAACCTTGAATTGGACCCCAGCGTTCTAGGACAGCAAATGGCACTTCTGTTCTTAGGTTTTCGAGGTAGCGACTTCACTTTCACAGTCGTAAGCCGAGCGTGTCTCACTCGTGAGCGCTGCACATCGCAGACAGTGTTGGTGATTTAATGTCAACAGGAATATCTATCACTGGGGCCCTGCGCAATGGTGGGAGCATTAGGAACGGCATGAGTAGAGTTGGGAATTGGCTAGGGATATCTGTTGGTGTTGGGGTCTGCTATGGAATGGGTTGCATTACCACATCGTCGGAGCCAGCTGTTAGTGAATAGTACAGTACTCTGTACACAGAAGGTTTGTTTACTTTTCCTACCTCACCTGTCTGTCACCGCTAATAGCATCTTCAGACCCTGCCTGCTGGCCTACCACAGCCCATACCAATCCACACTACCAATGAGACAACCATCATACAAGGCATACTACGGCACTCCAGCAGTTACAACGTCAAGGCAAGGGCACCAAGGGCATCTAGTGAATGCACCCAACGGGAGGAAACATGAGCTTTGGAGCAAGATAAGGGAACTAAGGCTTGGAATTCATGATACACATCAATAGGACTCTAGACAGGTTTCGGTAGGTTCCCTGTCTCTTTGCGCAAATGCGGGAGCCTCAAGATAGTAGTAATGCTATCCCCTACCACAACAATCTGTCTCTCTTCTGCTGCATGTGACTGCATGCAATGTATAAAAACACATCTAATATGACAGGAGATCTACGTGCCTACCTTCCCAGCGCAGCACATACATAGATCTACATCTCTCACAAGCACCACGTACCACACTTGCCAGTCACCACTTGACCTTCTCTTGACTTGCCTGCGTGACTTATCCTAGATGACTCACTAGCATACCTGTGTCAATTATTACGTCATCGCTGTCTACCTCCTGTTTCTTCTATGCTCCATGTTCGCGCATTCTGTAGATGTATTTCCCCCTGTATCTTTCATTCAAGATAGATAATGTCTCCATGTGGTGTTTCATCCTATGAAGCCGAAGTACGACATGAGCTCTTGGTCGTTGTAAGTAGGCGCCTTGCAGACTTGAATTGAGATGGCAGCACCGAGTGAGACATAAACAATCGTCCAGAACCAAGATGTACATACGCTGCCGTCTGCGAGGATCATACTGCCAGCTACACCAACGAACCAACTGTACTGAAAGCACAGCCTTAACTCGAGCTCCTCAAGCCTCCAAGACGGATATTTAACAAACACCAAGTTGTCAGGGCGTCTAGCACTTGGTCAATCTGAATCTAAAAGGGCACACGGAAAGAACATGCAGGCATGAAGTCTGCGTTATCGCTATCGCTATAGGTCTCCCGCGGTATCCAATACATCTCTTCTCATCGCTTTCCCGAAGTATATGCGGTCTCACATAATCAATGATCAAATACCCCTAATTATACCTGTAGAGCTCGTAAAGACCTGGAGAGACAGCGAGACCTGCTAACAGGCATAGATGTCCTCGACGCCCTCGCATAGCTCGCTACTCGAGATAATGAGCATGCTCTTATGCCGAGTAGCATCTTGTACCGCAGTTGACCTCGAGACAATGCGGCCCAAAGTCCATTTAGCTTTAGGCTCTCTAGATTGGCTTTGACTAGTGAAGAGATGCTACGACAATGACTCACTCGATCTACCTAGTCTGTCACTTCATATTCAATCCATTCTGGTCACTTGGAGGTGGTATTTTCATGCATATGTCCCTCTCTTATACCTTCCTCGGATTAACAGTCCGGGAGCAATGATATTGATGACCAGCTTACAGAGAATACTTTTCTGTTGTGGATTCTTTGGCACTACACGATGCTTATTCTTTACAGTATCATTTTGTTCGTTACCGCGAGAAGGGAAGCTTCAACAATTCTCATTGAATATGAATATAGTGCAGAATTGGTATATAATTGCGGATGTACATAATAAAAGACACCGTGTAGGGCAGTATGTTTCTTCGAGCCAGCTCAGATTT